AAGTCGACCGTCGTGATGCAGTGGGTATGCCGCTTGCAGTGGAGAAGTTAGTTGTTGTTTGCATCAGTATTGGGCTGCTGGTTCGTGACGGTAGTGGCCGCCATTGGCCGGTCAAAGTCGTAGTACTGTTATTGGATTGAATCGGCAGGAAAGATACAAGCTCGGACTTGCCGGCCAGCTTTGCAATCGAGCAAGACAAGGGACGAAAAGATCCCTTTCGAGGAACCTCGCCGACGAGCTCGATGATGTTGCGGGACGGGAACCGGCCTACGAAGATTATGACGATGGGACCGAGGGTTGTAAACCTTCCGTGGTGAGTGCAAAGCATTCAGCACTGCTGAAGACACCTCGCCCACCTATCAACGGTGATACACCAGCCGCCAAGCGCGTTTTCGACCGCGTACAAGCGCTGATGCAGAATGATGAGTAGATGCAGCTGTTCAAGCCCATCTTTAAGAAAAAAAACGACTGGTCTGTGCTTGCGCAGGAACTTCAATACCCAGTCAACTCGGTTTCGACTAGCCAAGCTGCCGAGGATTCAGTGTCGCTACTGTTGTCGCTGGGCTTCGAGAACGAGACGTACCCATCGACGATGTCGCTCCAAGATTGGAGTCCACCTGAAGCCGGAGCTGCTCTCCAGAAATGGAAGAAGAAGCTTCGGAAGACGTTTGGCGCGGTTGGCATCAACGCTGGGAAGAAGCCTGTGAGTCGAACGATCGTTTAAGATGATGATCCGTCCACGATTCCACTGCCGCCGACACCCCAACGACTCGTTCGTACTCCTCCGACCAAGCGTGGAGCTGAGCGTGGTGCCTTTGGCACTACCGAGCTTCACCGTACTTTCAAGACTCGCACATGGTTACGCCACGTTCGGAGAGTCGTATGCAGCGTGTTTACACTGGCAACGAGGATTCGTTCGGTCGCCGAGGTGGTCCGCGAGCTCCCAAAGGTGGTGCTGAACGTCGTCAAGTCGACAGCGATGGTTCGTCCAGTGACGATGACATTTTGGTGCGTACATTCGACGAGGAAGATCCTCAACTCGAGTTGATGCGTCAGATGAATGAGCTGGCGACGCTGAACGACGTGGACCCGACACCGAGGATTGAAATGGCATCGCACCGACCGTTAGATCGCATCACGCCGTTCTCAGGCTCTCGCAACAAGAGCGAGAACTGTATGCAGTGGCTCCGCGGGTTCGTCTATGACATACTGG